CTCTTCAGTATCGGGTCATTTGGAGACATAAGTCTAAACTGGTGCTTTAAGGTTGGTTTATGCTTGACACGTCCGCGAGGTCCGCACGGCTCCACGCGGCAAAATTGCGTCATTTTAACAACCACGCCCCTCCACCGCGCCTCCGCACGGCCCAAACTTACAGCACCGCGCTTTTAGGAAATTTTCTAACCACACGGACGGTCGGACGCGTGAAAACATGGCGGACTGGCAAGAACTAGTATGGCAGAGGTTCGTAAATACAGACATTTGTATGATTCAGCTCTCAGAGATCACCGTGATCAACATGTTGTTAATGATTCTTGGAGAGAAATAGCTCGCACTGTCGGAAAAGATGAGAACGCTGTTAAAAATGCTGGAATGCCATGTTGTAAACAACAGTAACTTTTACTTCTACTACGGTGTAGTGTTGGATGCATGCTGTAGAGCTCCATGCTGCCCCCTACAGTTTGGGAGAATATTGGCTCACCGCAGAGACAAGCCGCATGAACCATAAACGCTGCGAGTTGTGAAGCGCGTTCCATCCGCGAGCCGCATCACCAAGCGGAAAGTAAATGTGACAAGCATAAACCAAGCTTTAATCTGCAAGAAAGATACTGTTATGCTTGGTTTATGCTTGACGCATTTACTTTCCGCTTGGTGATGCGCATGAGACCTTCAGCTCTTGCTGGGTAGGTTCGTGAGTGTGAAGCGGCTGGGATGAGGATCACCACCTCCAAATCTGAGACCATGGTTCTCGACCGGGAAAGGGTGGCTTGCCAACTCCGGGTCGGGAGAGAGGTCCTACCTCAAGAGGAGGAGTTTAAGTATCTCGGGGTCTTGTTCCCGAATGAGGGTAGGAGGGATCAGGAGATCGACAGGCGGATTGGTTCAGCGTCTGCAGTGATGCGGACGCTGAACCAATCTGTCGTGGTGAAGAGGGAGCTGAGCCAGAAAGCCAGGCTCTCGATTTACCGGTCGATCTACGTCCCAATCCTCACCTATGGTCATGAGCTTTGGGTAATGACCGAAAGAACGAGAACGCGGATACAAGCGGCCGAAATGAGTTTCCTCCGAAGAGTGGCCGGGCTCAGCCTTAGAGATAGGGTGAGGAGCTCGGACATTCGGGAGGGACTCGGAGTAGAACCGCTGCTCCTCCGGATCGAAAGGAGTCAGTTGAGGTGGTTTGGGCATCTGGTCAGGATGCCTCCTGGACGCCTCCCTGGGGAGGTGTTTCGGGCATGTCCTGCCGGCAGAAGGCCCCCGGGTCGACCCAGGACACGTTGGAGAGGTTACATCTGCAGTCTGATCCGGGAACGCCTTGGGGTCCTGCCGGAGGAGCTGGTGGAGGTGGCCGGGGAGAGGACGGTCTGGAGCTCCCTAGTTGGGATGCTGCCCCCGCGACCCGGACCCGGATAAGCGGAGGAAGACGACGACGACGAACATTAACAACATGTGCTGTGATTATAATTTCTCATCATACACCACCTAATCCTAATCCCTCAACTTCCTAATTCACCACTGCACATGCTTTCTCCCCAGTCATCCCAGTTTCCCGCCATGGTGCTCTGTGTGTGTTAGTGGTGCAACAACACAACCTCTTAGTCTTTCTGACAGAGCTGTGATCCTAGATTAGCCGCTGGTGATTAAGGAATCAGGAGAAAACACTTTCGACACCACATTCTCCCTCTGGCCAGATGTTTCCTGGAATCGGGAGGAAACAGAAGCGTGAGCGTGTGGCGTGTGCATATGTGCATGTGTGTCGCAGCGCTGGTAAAGCGTCAACCTGTTTCTCCGTCTGTCACCAGTGTAGGGTGACTAACCCGGAGCTGTTCCCAAAATAAAACATCCTTTCAACTCCAAACCCCCCAAAGAGCTGCTCGCTGAGTGTAAAACACACAAGTGTGTGTGTGTGTGTGTGTGTGTGTGTGTGTACATATGTGTGTGTGTATACATATGTGTGTGTGTGTGTGTGTGTGTGTGTGTGTATACATGTGTGTGTATGTGTGTGTGTTTATGCATATGTGTGTGTATATATATATATATACTGTATGTGTGTGTGTGTGTGTGTGTGTTTATACATATGTATGTGTGTGTGTATATATATATATACTGTATGTGTGTGTGTACACATGTGTGTTTGTGTTTATACATAGGTGTGTGTGTATGTGTTTATACATATGTGTGTGTATACATGTGTGTGTGTGTGTGTGTGTGTGTGTGTGTGTGTGTGTGTGTGTGTGTGTGTGTGTGTGTGTGTGTGTATGACTCAGCAGTTCACTACATTTCCACAGTCATCTTTGTTTCCCAACGAACTAGCACACACACACACACACACACACACACACACATACATGTATATATATACTTGTGAGGACACTGACCCTACCTATCTTTGTGAGGACATCCACTTCCTGCATAGCTGTAGTGTTGGGCCATGAAAATCTGACACTAGATGTGAGTGAAGAGTCAGAATCTCACTTCAAATTGTTGAAAAATCAAAGTAAAAAAAATATTTATTTGGTGTACTTGTGAGGACCCACAACCGTTGCTAGGCAGATTAGGTGATGTCCTCACAATTCTGTATTTCCTCCCTAACCAATTTTTGATTAAATTTCCACATGAAAAATTAAAAATTCTTAAACTTTCAAAGCAATTTTAACTAATCAAACTGTTTTTACAAATATGTAACACTTGTTTATTATCAAATTGGCAATAGCAAAGTAAAATTTTAACATCTTGAATCACAGAGAAGCTTTTAATGTTTGCCTATAAATTACTCTATCAGTTTAAAATTTTTGTTTAGTTTTTCTTAAGAAAAAATAAAATATATTAGCTTAATTATTTTCTTGTTTGAGTGTGTAAGTTGCTAGATTTTCTTTATACTTTCAAAATGTTTTGCTTCTAATCCAAAGAGCTTTGTAATATTAAAGTGGAATGAGTGGAGCATCAAGCCCAAGTATTGTAGTGTGATTTTGGAGCTTATCCCTCTCCTTATTCTGGTCAGAATTGACAAAGCTCCTCAAATAAGAAGTGAAACATATTCAAATAACCAAAACAACTCAGTTGCCTCAACCCAAATCTACAAGGAATAACACAAACTGCATTTCGGAGAACCTTCACCAGGATTTAGCTTAAATAATATTAGATAAGGATTTTTTCTGTAATTCCCTATTCCAAGTTGTGCGGTGAAGTCTGAGCAGGTAACAGTTCATCGAGGCACCACACAAATGCTGCAAACTAAAAGGACAGACAATCATCAACATTAGGGATGCACAATCTGCATCAATAAGTTATTTTTAACATATTGGTATTGGTCCGATAAATAAAACTTGGTCAATATTAACAACAAATATTTTTTTTCCATTTTGTTTCCATTTGTTTATCTGTTTCAGATGGTTAGGGGGGTGGTGTGTATTTGTTTAGCCATGTGACAGTTATTTTAATATTCTCATAAGCGTAAATGTGTGTGGTGTGTGTACATAACAACGTAAATTCAGCTTTAATAATTTTCAATCAGTACAAAATTTGCTTATTTTAGAAGCATGTCAGTATATCTGTATCAGCAAATATCAGCTATCGGCCATAACAGTGATATCATCCATCCATCCATCCATTGTCGTCCGCTTATCCGGGGTTGGGTCGTGGGGGCAGTAGCCTAAACAAGGGAGCCCAGACTTCCCTCTCCCCAGCCACTTGGGCCGGCTCCTCCGGGGGAATCCCAAAGCGTTCCCTGGCCAGCCATGAGACATAGTATCTCCAGCGTGTCCTGGGTCTTCCTTTAGGCCTTCTCCCGGTTGGACGTGCCCGGAAAACCTCACCAGGGAGGCGTCCAGGAAGCATCCTAACCAGAAGCCCTAGCCACCTCAACTGGCTCCACTCGATGTGGAGGAGCAGCGGGTCTCTAAGGGAGAGCCCAGCCACCCTGCGGAGAAAACTATTTTTGGCATTTGTATCTGCAATCTCGTTCTTTCAGTCACTACCCTAAACTCATGACCATAGGTGAGGGTAGGAACATAGATCGACCGGTAAATCGAGAGCTTTGCCTTCTGGCTCAGCTCTCTCTTCACCACGACAGATCGGTACAACGTCTGCAGTACTGCAGAAGCAGTGATATTAATATCAAATATTGGTATCGGCTCATCGACTAATAAACATAGAATGATTTTGGATGGTGAAAGGTATAAAATTATCCTGGAGGAACCCAGACATACATAGGAAAAATATGCAACCACCATAAAGACTAAGCTGGATTCAAACTGCATTCAGCCGTGCAGCTCCCTGTAAATCTTAGTTACAGAACATAAATAACAGGAAACATGACAGAAATTACTACAAAGTAGTTATTTTATTGAAGTAAAAAGGATTTCATTAAACTTTGCAATTGTGACTGCAACAGTTGAACTAAAATAAACTTTAGGCACCTTTAAACATTACATACATATATGAACTCAGCTCCTGTTTCTTTTAAAATTGAATATGTTTACTTTTTTCTTTTTTGAGCTAAAATGCAGTTATACATGCAGTTTTTAAAATCTTTCTAATTCATCTGCTGATAAAATATAAATTTTAGATACCAAATAAAGTAAACACGGTGCATAAAATTACATAAATGAACTCAGATCCTTCTGCTTTGAAAAAGAAAATTTTCAAATATTGTTTTTATTTTCTTTTTGAGCTGTGATGCTGCTCTACTAGTAGTTCTGACATATTTCTAACTTCTAATAAATTAATACAACTTTAGGTACCATTAAATGCTCTGCATTTAACATTGCATGCATTAACTCAGCTTCTGCTGCTTTTAAAATAAAACATATCAACTACAGTTTTTTTTCTTTTTTGAGCTGTGATGTAGGCTTGCAGAGATTAACCAGTTTGACTATTAACCCCTGATAACCCCCCTTAAAGATGTCTACCACACCAACAATAAAAAAAGGACTATGGCATGACCCTCATGGACAAAGACAAAAGTGAAACTGAACGTGCTCACGTAGCAGAAGCAGAACCAGTGACAACAACCTTCGGGACTCCTCCATTTCCACCTAAGAAGCGGTTGAAGTCTCCTGTGTGGGATGATATCTAATATATCTAAACTATTCCCACACAGGAGAATTCAACCTCTTCCGAGGTAGAAATGGAGGAGTCCCGATGGTTGTTTTCACTGATCATGCTTCTGCTGCGGGCGCGTGTTCAGTTTCAGTTTTGTTTTTGTACTTACGAGTAACGCTATTGTCTTTTTGTTTTAGTTTGATGGTGTTGAAGATCTATTTACTTGGGGTTAACCAGGGTTAATAGTCAAAACGATTAATCCCTGCAATGCTACTGTGATGCTGTTCTACTTATAGTTTTTAACATCTTTCCAACATGTAATAAAATTTAAATATCTTTAGGTACCATAAAATGCTCTGCTTGTAACATTTTTGATCTGCAATGCTGTTATAATTATAGTTTTTAACATATTTCCAATGTCTCATAAAATAAAAATAACTAGGTATCATTAAATGCTCTGCTTGTAACATTACATGCATTAACTCAGCTCCTGCTGCTTTTAACGCAAAAACTACAGCCTTTTTCTTTTTTGATCAGGGATGTGGTTATAGATGCAGTTTTTTACATCTTTCCAACTTCTGTTCTAAAGTGCTGTCTCTGTACTGAGTGCTTTCACACACAGCATTTTACCAGGAACTCTTTCAAGAGTGATGTACCGACCAAGCTGTTGCCAAACCGCTTCTTTCCCAGATTTGCTCCAAATCTTTCGGTTGAATTTCTTAGAGGTTAAATCCTGTTGATCCATGTCTGTAACAAAAAAAAAAAAAAAGAAACATGCTTTTATTAAAGTCATGACATCATGTTTAGGTTGTGTTTTCAATTCTGACTGTTTGGATTAGGGATGAGCCGGATACTCGTTTCAGAAGAGTATCCGGTACGGATAAAGCATTTTTGACAAGTGAAACGAGTAAAAATCGTAAATATCTGTAATCGTGCTGAAGGAAAATCCTCATTGGGTAACTGACTGTCTTCACGCTCTGTGATTGGCCAGTGAAATAGAGCACCCGCCCCTCCCTACACACAAAACTCAGCAGCCAGGAGCTCACAGCTCAGTCCGTGTCCGGTCCATCCAGAAAACTCCAAATCTTGCAAAAATTCATCTTGCAGTGCAAGGTTACAGACTTGGATCAGTGGGAAAACCCCTTTTCTAACCAGCCCAGTCAATTTCCTAAGATGGCAATATTTGGTTAGCTTTAGCTAGCATTTCATATTAAAAAGTGATGAAAAATACTCTGTAAGGATCCTATTTTTTGGTGACCTCAATAATCACAGCCTGCAAATGAAATAACAGGAAGGAATACAGGAGTTATTTTAGACCGGGGACTACATTACGACAACAAACTGCTGCATGGCGCTGCTGCAATGCACAAGAACATCACGCAGCAACCCCAAAAAGACACCTACATTTATAAACACAAATACATAGCTACTGGGCTTATATCTGGGCTTAGATTCCAGTTCCTGAAGGACCTTGGTTCAGCGTGGTTGGACCTACAGAAATATTTGAAATTAAATTACTTACTACAAGTTTTTCAAACGTCTGTAACCCCCAAATTCCACTACCTCCGCTCCGCTCCGCTGCGGTCCGCCCCCGCCTTCCGCAGCCGCTCACTTCCGAACTCAGTTTTTACCGGTATGCGCTCTACAACGGCTCCGCTCCGGTGCGGAGACCTGAGGTGGGCAAACAAGCATGCGCGGGATTTTCAAGATCTTGCGATACAGTCCGAGCAATAAACGCGGAAGTTAGATCCAAACACCCGTTGTGTTGGAGAAGCATCGGCATGAACTGTTTAATCTGCCCATCATTTGTGTAGAGATCAGCAGTGTTTGGATCAACAAAGTGTGACTACTTTGATAGTGAAAACTGTATTTATGGCTAACTTTTGTGCATTTAAACTTCAGCCGCCACTGATAGTTGTTAAAAGTTGTTAAACCTGTGCATATGAAACAAAAAACGCCTTTTGTTTATCGATTTATTGTGAAAAACGGAAGTTGTGCTTGCTCCTTTTCCTGTTGGGCGATGGTGATTTCTGTCCATTGACTGCGGAGGTGCTCCGGCGTCCGGCGAAAATAGGATCGATTCTATTTTTGCCGGACGCCGGAACAGAGGACGGCGCACGGCGCCGCACTGCCGGAGCACAGCCGCAGTAGTGGAATTGCTCTGATTGACTACAACGGGACCGATTTTGCTCCGGCGTTCGTGTCGGAGCGGAGGTAGTGGAATTTGGGGGTTAGACAATGTTTCCCATCCCAAGCGTGAAGCTGACAACGGAGCTGGAGAGTTCCTTCAGTAGCAGACTTACGCATTCTAGGTGTATGAAGGCATTTTGTCATTAATCCTTCCTTTCTGCAGCTGTTAAACTTTATAACTACCAAGATCACCACAAACCAAGTAAACAGCTTTTTTATCCCTGCTGACTTTTGTTATTTGCACAGTTTCTGTGTTTATTATATAATATTAAATGCACTATCTTGGGCAGGATAACACAGAGCAGTGCTACGCCCTGTTGTCCTGGCGGGGAACTGCTTTACAACACTCCCCAGGAGACTGAGAAGTCCGAAAGCAAAACATCTCTGTCCGTGTGTGTGAATGTGGAAACCACGCACCTGTTTTGTCCTTTCCATTTGACTCCTTAGACCACTCAGCTCCTGAAGGTTCTTGGCTCATCATATCTGGATGATCTACAAAAACATTTTAGATTATATGGCTTAATACAAGGTTTTTTTTAGACTCTGAACTGTAGCTAGGAAATGTATCAACAGATCTATAATTGTTGTTGATAAACAGAAAAAGTTTAGCATCTAACTGAAGGAAAACTGAAGTCAAGTATCTTTGTGCCTAAAATGTTAATATGGTAATGATTTGATGAACTTCCATCTTTCTATAAAGGTTTATGTGAACTCAAACATCCCAAATACATTTCTGTATTTATAATAAGGACAACAATGTGAAATTAATGGGAATAAATGGCCTGTATAGGTATAGCGCCTTCTAAGGCCCCCAAGGCGCTTCACAACACAATCTGCTGCTGTTGTTTCCTTGGGCAAGGCACTTAACTCGCTTTGCCTGCTGGTGGTGGTCAGAGGGACCGGTGGCGCCAGTGTTCAGCAGGCCACGACAGCAGCACTCTCTGGTTGGAGCTGGGATCAAACCTGCAACCTTCCGGTTTCTGGACAATCCTCTCTACCTCCTGAGCTACTGCTGCCCCTAAGTAGTTAAGTTGTTCATACTTGTTGTAAAATGTCAAACCTCAGTTTCTTTTTTTAAGGTAATCTCTTTCAGTCTTTTATGGGGAGAATGAATTGCATGTTAGCCATTTTCAGTTACTTAAATATTTGAAAATCTGAACCAAACCTTGAGTAAAACCATGGACAGTGAGCAGGGAAGGGGAATGGGTGGGTGTTCCTTTGTTGGTCTGCTTCTTCTTTGATTTCCCTGTAGGCCTTTGGGTGCACAAGGTGGGTTCATCTAGAGTGATATGAAATTTATGAAAAAAAAATCCACTTAAAGCATTATAAAAAGAAACGGAGGCACGCCAATCTCAGTAAGCCATTGATCATTGACTGACCTTCAGAACTTTGGTCGAGCCCATTGCTTTTGTTTCTCAGCTTTTATCTTTTGAAAGATGCTGCAAAGAAAAGAAAAATAGATCTAATGTCAAGCTATAGACATAACAGTAATAATTTCCTTAAAGAGCAAGTCACCCCAGAGTATAACTTCACCCACACTTCCCATTTTAAAAATGCAACAAAAGGAGGAGTTGCCAGCTTCCCCATACTCTGATTTTTTCCATCATCTGTGTGTATTTTTAAATCCACTGAGTCATACTGTTTTCGCATTCTGATTCAGGTGTCTCAACCCACAATCATTACTAGGGGTGTAATGGTACGTTGAACTCGTATTCAGTTTAGTTCAATGTTTAATATTCCGTATATTATTATTATTATTATGATATTTATTTATTTAATATCTGAAGTGACTCGTTACAACCGAGGAATGCAGCAAAGCATTTGTGAAGCCACAACATGCACAACCTTGAGGTGGATGGGCTACAGCAGCAGAAGACCCCACGGGGCACCACTCATCTCCACTACAAATAGGAAAAAGAGGCTACAATTTGCACAAGATCACCAAAATATGATGGTTGAAGACTGGAAAAATGTTGCTGGTCTGATGAGTCTGGATTTCTGTTGAGACATTCAAATGGTAGTCAGAATTTGGTGTAAACAGAATGAGAACATGGATCCATCATGCCTTGTTACCACTGTGCAGGCTGGTGGTGGTGGTGTCATGGTGTGGGGGATGTTTTCTTGGTACACTTTAGGCCCCTTAGTGCCCATTGGGCATGGTTTAAATGCCACAGGCTACCTGAGCATTGTTTCTGACCATGTCCATACCTTCATGACCACCATGTACCCATCCTCTGATGGCTACTTCCAGCAGGATAATGCACCATGTCATAAAGCTCCAATCTTTTGAAATTGGTTTCTTGAACATGGCAATGAGTTCACTGTACTACAATGGCCCCCACAGTCAGCAGATCTAAACCCGATAGAGCATCTGTGGGATGTGGTGGAACGGGAGCTTCGTGCCCTGGATGTGCATCCCACACATCTCCATCAACTGCAAGATGCTATCCTATAAATATGAGCAAACATTTCTAAAGAATGCTTTCAGCAACTTGTTGACTCAGTAGCCATGTTTACATGCACCAAATTTCCTCAATCCAATTCAAATCTTGGTTGATCGGAATTTCTGAATCACTGTTCACATGGACACAAACTGAAATGATCTGATCATGCCGTGCTTATAAATGCATCAAGCATTTAATCCGATTAAATAGGTTGAGCATGCGCAGAAAGTTGCCTTTCCCGGAAGAAAAATTGTAAACAAACACCATGAAATGAAATGAAAAATGTAAAAACAGAAATAACAATTCTTCCTGCTTTCCCGATTCATTTATTCACTTCAATATTTTTATTTTGCTCATAGAAGTTACGTTTTCTTCAGTGAATAACTGCAGATCTATGCTTTGCTGCATTTTTATTGTTGATTAAAATAAGGGAGGGTTATGTTTCTGCCTCTTGATCAGCTGGTCCGTGGGTCTGAAGTGACAGATATGCCGTTGCGCTGCACTGTGGCGCAGAGTGGGGATGGGGGCGTTTAGACTCATGTTTTATTACTGAGCTCTGTTGTGGCTTATTATTCTTAACATGTGACAATCAGCTGAAACTGTTGAGAAAAATCTGTTTAAAATAAAACAACAGAAGACGTTCAGAAAGTTTAGAAGCCTGTGTTCATCATTAACGAACCGCATCTCAGGTCATCTGCGTTAATGTGCTTTTAACACGGACTTTACTGTTGTCCAGAATATTTAACCGAGGATGTTTTCCTACCCAACATCAGCCTCCAATCAGGTCTGTAAAACTGATATTATCCTGTCTTCTTTACAAGCGTCTCTGGCGTCTCCATCACCTGCTGCAGAAGTTGCTGCGTTCAAAGCTGACAGAAACGGGGATCTGTGCGCTGCAACCTCCGCAATAAACTTGGGTATTTCCAGTACAGATTTGAAAATGTTTGTCGAGTGATTTGTGCAATAATCAGATTTTTATTTTACTTCTACAAAATGCAAGTTCTGAATTAAATATTACTGAAACGGGACGGCTTGTTATCAAATTTAAAAGCCTCTGCTCATTGATTACGCTGTCATTTTTGAAGTCAGGCAGTCCAAATGACAGCGGAGAGGCCCGCTCGCTGTTGCACACATGCGCAGTGGGCATTATTTTACCCCAACAATCCGAATAGCTGTGTACATGCACGTCAATCAGAATGATGATCGGACAAAACCACCTCCCTCAATCGAATTGAAATTTCAATCCGATCGGGCCAAATCGGATCAGAATATTTGATTGACATGTTTACATGCAGAATTTTTTATCTGATTGGGCGTTCAATCTGATGAAATATGCGCATGTAAATGTGGCTACTGCCACGTCGAATTAAGACGGTTCTGAAGGCAAAAGGGGGTCAAACACCGTATTAGTATGGTGTTCCTAATAATCCTTTAGGAAGAATAGAATAGAATACACTTTATTGATCCCACAGTGGGGAAATTCACTTGTTACAGCAGCACCAACACTTAAGGGGATAATCAGAAGAAAATTATGATATAGGTACATGTATATACACATAGGCAGTAATCTAGTAATGTAACCTTCGACCACTAAAAAAACACGAATAAAAATGAAAAAAACTTGGGTTCCAACACTATGCAGCATGCTGTGACAACCTGGGCCGCATTCCGCTTGGCCTGCCGGTACCCATCAGCTGCCTCTGGAGTCCCACAGGCCAAACAGACCCTATAGGACTCTTTATCTTCAGCTTGACGGCATCCCTAACCGTTGGTGTCCACCAGTGGGTTTGGGGGTTGCCACCACGACAGACACCAACAACCCTGCGGCCGTAGCTCCGGTCAGTCACCTCGACAATGAAAGCACGGAACATGGCTCACTCGGACTCCATGTCCCCCGCCTCCCCCAGAACATTTTGGAAGTTCTGTCCGAGGTGAGAATTTAAACTTCTTCTGACAGGAGACTCTGCCAGACGTTCCCAGAAGACCCTCACAATACCTTTGGGCCTGCCAGGTCTGACCGGCATCTTCCCCCACCATCAAAGCCAACTCACCACCAGGTAGTGGTCAGTTGACAGCTCCGCCTCTCTCTTTACCCGAGTGTCCAAGACATGCGGTTGCAGATTAGATGAAATGTCAACAAAGTCGATCATCGAGCTGCGGCCTAAGGTATCCTGGTGCCAAGAGCACATATGGACACCTTTATGTCTGAAAATTGTGTTAGTTATAGACAAGCCATGACGAGCACAGATATCCAACAACAAACACCACTCAAATTCAGATCAGGGGGGCCGTTCCTCCCCACCACACCTCTCCAGGTCTCACTGTCGTTGCCCACGTGAGCGTTAAAGTCCCCCAGCGGAATGAGGGAGTCACCAGAAGGAGTGCTTTCCAGCACCTCCTCCAAGGACTCCAAAAAGGGTGGGTAGTCTGAACTGTAGTTTGGTGCATAAGCACAGACAACAGTCAGAACCCGTCCCCCCACACGTAGGCAGAGGGAGGCTACCCTCTCGTCCACCAAGGTAAATCCCAATGTACAGGCACCAAGATGGGGGGCAACTAGTATGCCCACCCCGCTCGGCGCCTCTCAGTGGGGGCAACTCCAGAGTGGTAGAGTGTCCAGCCCCTCTCAAGGAATCTGGTTCCAGAGCCAGACCCATGTATTGATGTGAGTCCGACTATATCTAGTCGAGGTGACATTCCACGTACCGAGAGCCAGCTTCTGTAGCCAAGGATCAGACCGCATCTGAGCCTTCGGCTTCCACCCATCACACATTGCACCTGACCCCTTTGGCTCTTCCCACAAGTGGTGAGCCCATTGGAAGGGGGACCCACCTTTTCTCTTTGGGCTGTGCCCGGCCGGGCTGGGTGAAAGCCCAGCCACCAGGCGCTCGCCGACGTGCCCCACCTCCAGACCTGGCTCCAGAGTGGGGCCCGGGTGACCCACATCCGGGTGAGTGAACACTGTGTCAATTTATATTATTCATCATAATGGGTCATTGGGCTGCTTTTTGTCTGATCCCTCACCTAGGACCTGTTTGCCATGAGTGACCCTACCAGAGGCATAAGCCTCAGACAATATAGCTCCTAGGATCATTCTGACACACAAACCCTCTCACCGCGGTAAGGTGGCAACCCAGGGAGGGGCGTCTGGCGCAATTACATGTGAAAACTCTCTCGGGATGTAATGGGCTGGAGACCAACAGCCAGTAACTCAATGTCATTTGTGCAGAGTTTATTTTTAATGGTCACATACGCTGGGTTGCACCATTTCTCATTATTAAACACAACCAGACCCCCACTCTTGCGCTTCACACTCCACGCTCCTGTCGGCCCACGTGAGTTTAAATTCTCCCAGTGAAACCTCAGTCAGCTATGAGCTCATCCGTCCACGTTTCCTTAAAAAATAACAGACTACACTGTCTGTAGTCTTGCTGCAACCTGGTCAGTGCTGTGACCTTGTCCATCTTATTGAGAAGAGAACGGACATTTCCCATAATCACGGAGGGAAAGGGTGAGTGTAGGTTTCCGACAGAGAACCCAGCTTGCTGACTGGTGGACTGTCTTAGGCTGAATTTTTAAACTCTAAATAAGATGCACTAAAAAGCCATAATAATGACCACACATTTCTACAGCACTATTAGACACTCATTGATACAGTTTATCAGCAAAAAATAAGTTGATTTGGGGGTGACTTGCTCTTTAAGTGATGTCTGCCAATATAGTTAGTGGATAGACCAGGAGTCACAACAACTCATACAATCACGTGAATGTGGAAGTCACTCACCTGTTTTCTCTTTCTCAGTGAAATCCTCTGGAATCCCAGCTCCTGAGGGGCATTGGCTCTGCATGTCTGGAAAGATGTCAGATTAGATGATTTAACACAAGTTTATCAATAATTTGAACTATGGCTATGACTATTTAGCAGAGTTATTAATAAAGTTAGCAAAGTTTGAAATATGAAGGGCAGTCTAAGGCACTCCTTTACATTATTCAAGCTGTCTAATCAGCCCCTTGATTTGCCACACCTTTGAGGTGGGATGGATTATCTTGGTAAAGAAAAAGTGCTCGAGAACACACATGTAGACAGATTTCAGAATAATATTTGAGGGTCATGGGTGTTTGGTGTATGTAGAAAAAGTTTCAACTGTTTGAGTTCAGCTCATGAAAAATGGGAGCAAAGACAAAAGTGTTGCGTTTATATTTTTGTTCAGTGTAGATAACCAATCTAGCAAAAAAGCCATGTTTGGTGTGTTACAGCTGGCCGTAAGAACTGGTTCTCTTAAAAGATCCAGGGTTCCCATCACTAGTTAAAAGCGTCCGGCATCCGGCCCAAAATGGGTCAATCCAATTGTGTGTCAGCACTTTGCTGTAGGGTGGGAGTTCGTTTTGACGATCGTATCAAGAGCCCTATCCTGGCAGCAGCCAGCTAGTGCCAGCCGGGCACTACCTTGCGCGTCCTTCAGTCAGTTCAAAATATTCTACCACACAGCCCTCCCTCTTTCAGCCGGTTTCTGCTGCAGAGAGTCCAGATCTAAATGTGTAGACTCTACACGAGGCTACACATAGAGATCTGGCTGCTGCTAGGTTAGGGTCTTACAGCTCGGCTCACTAAAATGAACCGGCTCTTTCGGCTCTTAAACAGCTCCTCATATTTTTCGTTTCCTAAATGAATTTATCACCAGAAATTATATAAAACTGTATGTAAACTGAATTACTAATCTACAATATACATTTTATCAAGTGTTTATTGTTTAAATAACTTATTTTATTCAACATAAAGCAGAGAGCTACATAAACACATTTTAAATGACAAAAACAAACTCTGCAAGTAAAATTTGTATTAGTTTTGAACTATTATAGCCTTTTGGATATATTTACCCTTTGCACAATCTACACTCTGTCTTTTAATTGTCACTGTAGTTAAAATTTGTCCAAACCTTGGTGCCTGTCCTGTTTTCACTCATGTCCTCACCTTTCTGAAGCTTTGTTTGATTTTCCTTTCTCCTCTTACAGATTTGTCCCCACCAATATTTACAGGTCTTATCAGTTAATGTAATTTGTCTCACAGGCATTTTGTGCATGCCACCCCTCTCCCTGCCTTCACAGCATCGGAGCTCAGTGAAGCTGATCTCCCCCACTTGAAAAGTAAAAGCAAATAGGTTTGTGCCACTGTCGCCCCAATTTTAACTGCACAAACGAAGAACTAAAATGTAGACTATTTTGGAATGTTTTGGAGCATCACACAACAATAAAACTTGTTATATCTCAGAAACCATAGCAACACAAATTATATTTCAACAGCACAAACCAGCACAAACATAGCACTAAAAAGTAGACTACTTTGAACTGTTTTGGTGCAGTCTGGGTTAGGGTTAAGAATAACCTATAAAATAAAGTGTAATATCTCAGAAACTAACCGCACAGCCTATTTGCTTTTACTGGAGGTCAGCTTCACTGAGGCCCGCTGCACATGTGCGCTCAAGTTTTGCTGTGTTCTAGTGGCTCCAGGGCCTGCGGGTACAGTCTATGTAACTCACTTTGACTTCTCCAAGAGGGAGCCAGTTCCTGCAGAAGGGACCTTTCTCCTAACGGTCACATAAACAAGTCGGCTCTGAGAGCCGTTTCGTTCGTGGCCAACACGTCACTAGTGGGTTTTTTTAAATGTCAAAAACTGATTATTGTATCCACATTGCCTATGAAAGATTAGATTTCCCAACAAAATAATATTTCTCTCTTTTTAGATTTCATTGTACACCTTCCATCACACTGAATCCTTTTTATAATGTTAATGAACCCTATCACAAAATAGAACAACACTGCTCTGGTTGAAATGTACAGCATTATTAATGTTACATAAGACAAAACCATGTCCCTGATACAAAATTACTGAAAACTACACTTTGAGTCCTCACAAATACAGCTCACTTCAGGCCCCGTAGCTTTACCATGCAGACAGCCACTTTGTTTTAATTTAAAAATAAGTTTTAAAAATGTAAGTAGGTAAAGCGTGTCTTTATTTCTTTAAACATACCTTAAAGTTGAAAGAAAACAATAGTCTCTGATAGAAAATTACCTAAAACTCACAAGCACAGCTCCATTCAGTTCAAATTGTTTTAGCATGATAAGAGCTGTAATTGTCTTATTTAAAAAAGTGTAAATGATTTCATGGAATATTTTAAATTATATGTTACCTTTTTGGGCTGTGGAGTTATTCCTCTTTTCCTCCGTAGAATTAGTCAAAGACTGACAAAGTTGGAGAGATCCAGGGCAGCTCTGGTACTTTCCATCTACAATGCACATGCTGCTTTCACGAACAATGAGACTGCAAACTTGATACATTAAAAATTTAGGGTTTTCCAGCTGATAATGTCTTAACAGACTTCAGGCATGAGCTAATTTCATGTGCAATATTTAAGCAATAATCATTTTACAGAAAACTCATAGCATTCACAAATAAACCTCTTTAGATGTTTTTATTTCAGTATAGTTGGACACACCAATTTTCCCTGAATGCATCATGAACTTTTGCTCCCCTGTCCAGTGCAGGTGCAGAGCCACTCCCCACCCCCACTCCCAAAAAAGTCTGTTTCTGCTGAAAACTAAAATCACACTTGACCATGTGAGTCTCATATGTATATATTAGATATTTATTAATAAATATATGAGCATATATTTCAACAGCTTACACACACATACATACATACACACACATTATATATATAATATTTATCCTGTTCATTTAATTTATTTTTTATGTATTGGGGCTCAACCAATGAATCAACTGTGATGGTGCAGAGAACAAGAACGTTCATACCTACAAACTCTGAAGGGGTGAAAACTGTGACAAATAAAATCAACCCCTGTAAATGGTCCTTGCATGCTGCAGATGTACATCAGTAAGTTTTATAGTGGCCTGGGGTGTCATTTATAAAGCTTGCTTACCCACAAAATGGGGTTGCAAAACTGCAAAAGTAACTTGCCATTCAAACTTTGGGATTTATAAAGGAAAAAGTAGTGGGAAAATGTGGGCAACTTTGAGTTGACCTAAGGAGCTGGCTTACGCACATTTTGGACATGGAGAGTTTTTGGATTTTGGACAATGTTAAAAGTATAGGAGCTTTTTTGGGGACATTTGAGGGGGCTCTTTAGACTAAGAATGACATATCAGAATGCAGACACTACCGCCTTAAAGGGAGGGTTATGACGATGAAGTGACCTGATTTCTGACCATTTACATCACTCCTGTGACCCACACCGTGACCTCAAAATTAGTGGAAAAGGCCATGTTAAAGTATGGGATCTTTTTGAAGAACATTTGGGGGGGCTTTTTTGCATATGAATGACATATCAGAATAAAGACATGACCGCCTCGAAGGGAGGGTTATGACGATGAAGTGACCTGATTTAAGACCCTTTACATCCCTCCTGTGACCCACACCTTGACCTCAAAATTAGTGGAAAAGGCAATGTTAAAGTATAGGAGCTTTTTGAAGTACGGGGGTGGGGGAATTTTT